GTTGTATCAGTAACATTTTAGTGTAAAGGAGATTTCTTATAGTAGTAACAGATGGGGCCCACGGTTGAGGTTACATGTTTTAGCAAACGTAAGATGAGGTGCCACTAAAAGAAGGGGAAGGAAGACTGCAAGCTCTATCTATAAGCCCAGTCTGGCACGAAGGGGAAGTTTTAAGTATTTGCTCTGAATTCCACAGATGTTTACTGGGCACCAGCAACCAACAAGACAAGGCACGTAGTTGGGGACCCAAGAAAACAAACAAAGCAACAGATCTATTTCTTCCTTTATAAATGTGACAGGGGTGGGAGGGGAAATGCCCTAAGACCATGGGCTAGCAAAGGACCTTCTGATAGGGTTTCAGGAAAGCCTGTTCTGAGTTGGTGACCTTTAAAATGAGACCTGCAAAGTGAGAAGGAAATCTGCTGTGCAAAATTAGGAGAGAGGGTGAGGGAGAAGATTTCAAGAAGAAAGAGAGTGTTTATTCTCTAGGGAGGGCTGTCAGAATGAAACTGAGAAAAGACAGCAGTTCCTCCAGGTTGCCTGAGGGACCTCTAAGGGAGCGGTGTCTGCAGAGAGGAGTGGGTGCGAAGGGGAGAGTTTTCGGTAGGAAGTGGGGAGAGTGGGTGCTGGCCGTTTGTGTTAGCCGGAGCAGGGGAGGGTGAGCTTGGTTTTGCTATTTTAGGCTGTTGATATAGCCAACTTTCAGTTTCCATGTGAGGCAGCTGGTAGGTGCCTTCCAGATGCACAGAAGTCACAACAGTGAAGTAGTTCATCTCCAGTTGCCTCCCTACCAAGCTCCCCACAGTCACTATTGGAAACTTTCTCCTTAAGTCCTCTCCACCCCCCTCACCCCCGCCACCCCCCAATGATTTTGTTTCATTCCTCTCTGAGACTGAGGCCGCCACACAAAGTTTTCTCTGACTGTTCCCTTTTCCATCTTGGTATGTCTCTACATCTTCACCTTCCATGTTTTTATTATTTTTTTATTAAAATATTTTATTGATTTTTTACAGAGAGGAAGAGAGAGAGATAGAGAGATAGAGAAATGTCGATGAGAGAGAAACATCGACCAGCCGCCTCCTGCACACCCCCCAACGGGAATGTGTCCGCAATCAACGTACATGCTGCCCCTTGACCGGAATCGAACCCGGGACCTTTCGGTCTGCAGACCGACGCTCTACCACTGAGCCAAACCGGTTTTGGCACCTTCCCATGTTTTTAGAGAGGAATGCCTCCTTCTCCAAAAGTGACTCCACCTAACCACGTGATCTCACTCTTCCTCTTTCTTCCCTAAACTTGTTCCACATCATACTCTCTCTTGTTTATTTATTTTTCCCCTCCTTTCTGCCATCTCCCCTCTCCTGAAGAGTTCTCACTCAATCTTGTTTATCTTTTCAGCCAGCCATCAACTCTCTGGAATTTTATATGAGGACCTCTTTGTTGGATCACTGATTTCACCTCCTAGTGAGTCCCTCACCCCACAGCCTTTGTTACCTGGCTTCCTGGACTGACTATAGACTTTTGCCTGGCATGCTATGCTTCTCAGTTCCAGAATTCTCACACCCCTGCCTGGCAGCATAGGATGCCCATGCCAGGGTTCCAGAACCTGCATCTCTCTCCCCGAAACTCACCTGAGCACAACCCTGTGCTGATCCATAAAACCACCCTAAGTCAGACAGAGAGACATAAAGGCAACTCATTCTAACCTCTGAGATGCAGCATTACCTACGGATCCTGCTTCTCTAGGTTCAAAAACATATCTCTTGTGAAAATCACCTTGAGTCTCATGTGTGAGCCCAGTTTTGGTTCCATTGGTTTCATTTTTATTCATTCTATTTATTGAGCATTTATTATGCTCCAGACTCTACACATGATCTCACTTACTCCTCACAGCATCCTGTGTTGGGAAGCACTACAGTCAGTCAACCCGTGCTACAGAGACCTTGAGAATTTGCCCAAGGTTACACACCAGTAGAGGGTGGAGTCAAGAGTCAAACCAGGCCTCTGACTCTAGAGGCTATGCTCAATAAATAGTTATAACTTTTAACAGAAGAAAGAGTGAGTGGCCTGTGTGTGTGTGTGTGTGTGTGTGTGTGTGTGTGTGTGTGATAGTGAGAAAGCTTTCTGAGATCCTGCTACTCATGCCAGATTTTCTGGTCCTGATTAGGTACTGCCTGGCTGCCAGGAGCTGTTATTATCACTCACTCCGGTGCCCTGTCACTGGGCCTGTGGGGACTTGCCCTTCCTTCCTGCTCTCAGCCTTCTTATGCTGATGACTGTACTGGAAAATCCCATACTGGCTGCTGCCATGCTTACCAAACACAGATTGTACGTGCTGCTCTGAACTTCCTGCCCACTCTGTCCCATGCCTGCCCCTACCCAGGGGGCCAGTCTACTTCCAGGCCAGGCCTTTCTCCATCTGTTTTACTCCTGAACAAGTAACTAAGTTTTCTCTATGCCACATTTCTCCACGGAGTCCTGTCCCTTGTTCTCCCTGAAGGAATTCATCCCTCCCACCCTCTTTTACAATCCTTTAACTGTTGGCTTATGCTCTCTAGCTCTTTCTTCAACCTACTTTAGATTAAGTTAATGCCAGGCCTATTTTGTTAACCCTTTCCAATATCTAATTCCCTTTTTCTCAAATGTAAATATCTGTTGTGTTGAATTGAGTCATTACAATACATTCCTTCAACACAAGAATGGTCTGGAAAAGTTCAAATGAATAAGTTTGCTGAGAAAAAAAAGGTCCCTGAAAAGGAGAAGTTTAACAAGAGGGGAAAAAACAATGATAATTAGAACAACAATGTCCAATAACCAATATTTTCAACATGTTTCGAAATTGATTACCAAATGCCAGGCGCATTTGGGTCCTCGCCCTCCTGGAAGATGAGTTCAGTGACTTGTTGAAAGCCACACAAGTCTAATGATGGCAGCACTCAACTCCCTGGCTTCGACTTCAAATCCCCATCTTCTTCCTAAAATCCTTTTTTTTTTTTTTTTTTTAAGTACAGATGTCTGTCTCATCAGCCATCTCATCTGGGTCATTTGAAAACTTCAAGCAGAAATCCTCCAGCTCAGCATTAATGTGTTCTCCAAAAGGCAGCATCTTCAGAACAGAAACCAAAACAATGAAAACCAAGTACAAATGGCTTCTGGCTTCTCTTCAATGGTAGCAAGTCTTAGTTCTTTCTTTTAATTCCCCACAGGAGTTGTGGGTTTTCCAAGGGTTAAGCAATGAGACATGAGCTCTTAGGAAATGAAATTTTCAGGAATTGCATTGTCTGTCCTTTCTTTTGTGGAAGGAAATGCTATGTAGGCATTCTTGTTCTTACATTTTATTTCACTGAATGCAAAGTTAACTAGACTAAAAAGGGCCAGTTTGGTAATGAGTTATTTTTATCCTCCTGCTGCTACTATAACAAATCTACATACTTGGTGCATCCACTCTTTCTGACTCTTATCTCCAACAAGAGAATCGAGTATGTACTTTTTGAGGACATCAGTTCATTTAGGATGATGAGACAAGTTTAGAAAAAAAATCCCTCCATATAAGAGGTCTATAGGACAAATGGACTTCCTCTTCTAGTCTAAATGTCCTGTTTGTACTCATAGGATTGTAAATAGCAAAGTATCAAAGTGAGAAATGGCCCTTCTGCTGAGTAAAGCAAACCCCTCTCTAACTCTTTTGTTACTCCTCCTGACTTACTTCCCCTCTTAGGGCTGGTGCCTTCTCCCCTTTCAGGTCTCTGCTCAAATATCACCTCCCAGAAGAGGCCTCCTAAAATTGCTCCTCCCCCACTACCTCCTATCCCCTTGCACTCCTCCCCTTTATTTTATAATTATTATTTATCACTCTCTGACATTATATTTTTTTCTGTTTACTTACTTATTGTCTGTTCCCTTCAATTGGAAGATATGACCTTTATGTGAATTTGTTTTTGTTATTGCTGTCTTCCCAGAAACCAGTATCCTGAATTCAATCCCCTGAGTCAGATTCAGGATACCACTTATAAGGCAGTTATATATTTTTCCTCATATTCTGGAGAAACTGCAGAGTTTGGGATGACAAGTTTGCACACTGCTACTGATTTTTCATTTTAGACACTGAGGAGAGGGACCTCCTGATTCATAACTTTTCTATTTCCTTTGCATTACAAGCACAGCAAGCTATAATATTTCGGTGAGAAGGAAAAGCCCAGTAACTGCATCTTATCTCAGATATCCAAGCCAGGAAACATGTGTTCTAGATTTGTTGGAGAGATTCTAATGCACTCAGTGCCTCACATTCACCCTGTGGGTTCCTTTTAATATTTTGGTCCATTTTTTAACCTTATTTTCTTCATAGCCAAGAAAGAGAGAAAGATTAACTTATTCACTCAACAAGTAGTTCAAATGGCACACCTCTGAGAGGTTCCCTCACCATAATGTCTCACAAATTCCCCACCCTTCTATTGTTTTCTAGTTTATGACACTCAATTTCTTTGTAGTATTTTCCTCTGTCTAAATTATATTTTTATTTGTGTTTTACATGCTCATCATCTTTTCCAATGGTCTTAGGCGACCCTGCTAGCAGTTTTCTTAGGTGACCCTGTTAGCACAGGTTGGGAACTGCTGCTGTAGAGCCTAAGACCATTGGAAAACACAGATATTTACATTACGATTCATAACAGTAGCCAAGTTATGAAGTAGCAAGGAAAATCATGTTATGGTTGGGGGTCAACACAACATGGGGAACTGTATGAAAGTGTCGAGGCATTAAAGAGGTTGAGAACCAATAAAGAAAGAGAAAGAAGAGAAGGCTTTTGAGAGGATGCTAATAAAGTGAGTTTTTAGGACATGAAATTATATGTCTGTGGTAAATTCAGGTAGAAACGTCCAAAGGGCAGTTTATGTAAATGAATCTGATGTCAGAAGAGATCTCTATGCTGTAATCCTTCATCTGTGACTCATCAACACATGGTTAGTCTGACTAACAAATTGAGAGCATGAGCTCACTTGGGAGAATGTAGAGATTGAGAAGAGCAAGGAAGGGCAGAGCTGTGACATATCTACCACTTAGGGGGCAGGTAGAAGGAACTTCGTCAGGGCTAGAAGAACCAGAAGACTGTTTTGTTGTGGATGGCAAGAAAATTGACATTTATAAGATGATAGAGAATGGTCAATGGCAGCAAATGTCACAAGGGATCTAAGGAGCAAAGGTTAGAAAAGTGTCCACTGGGTTTGACAGTCAAGCTTCGCCACAGCAATTCCTCCTTAGGAATGAGAACAGAAGCTTGATTGAGAGGGATTGAGAATGGACTTTCTGGAAGGTGAACAATTAAGAAAGTGAATTAATACAGTGCCCTTAGAAAGCTTAGCCTTGAAGATAAGGAGAAAAGTAGTTTGGTTCTGTGGAAAAAGACTTGATATTTATTACTCAAAAATAGGTTAAAATCATGCACTTGAAACATGTGCAGTTTACTGTATGCCAATTATAACTCAGAAAAAGTTATATTTTAAAGCATTTTAGAATTTCACATAATATCAGTATCTTCTCACTTGAGAATAAAATTTCAATTTCATAACATATTAAGATATTTCCTCGTGTAAGAATGAGAAAATTTTAGGATGAGTATTATGTAAACGAATACTCCTTTTTTTACAGATAATAATAAGACCAATAGTAATGAAAGTTCTTTTTTTTTTTCTTCTTCCTTTTTGGTAGGAAAAAAAAAGGCATTATGACCTGGAATATGGGCCAGCATAGAGAAAGGACTGGATTTATGGTTGCAGTTTGTTGACTCTTATAGACTAAGTGGCTAGACATTAAACTAGATTATGACCTATAATGAGGCAAATAAAAGCCAAAATAAGACATCCAGGGGGGGCACTTAAAAGAGTTTCCTGAGCACAGAGAAACAGGCCTTAGTGTCATTAAGGACTTCATTTAGGGTCATAATGGTAAAAAAAAAAAAAAATGTATAGTGATATATTGGATAGAGAAAGGAGAATAATATCTAAGTCAAATATTCTTTCAAAGGTTCAGCAATTGACCTACCACTGTCCTAAAAATTGAAGTGAATAAAATGCTAGGCTTTAAACAATTTCCCAATAGTTAGTAAACTCAAAGATGAGACAGGTAAATAAAACTAAAGAGAAATAAACATTGACTCAGTGAATGCTGTTTATTCCAAATGCAGCCATCTAGATTTTCCTTTACAATATTTTCACATATAATAGAAAAGCATGAAAGAAATAAAAGGCCAATAAACTAAATATTGGTGTGTACAGTGCTTTACATTTTGTCAAAGCAGACTTGTCCTCATTCAATGCTTAGGATAATTCAGAAAGGCAGGCAGGGTTCCAGATCTCCACTCCCATTACCCTCGGGGTGATGCTTATCTCTGGGTTTTCACACAAACAGACCCTGAGAGGTAATAAGTTTCCCTTTGAACTGTCTTGTTTTCCACAACATCATTCAGAGAAACATTTCTCCAAGACTAAAAATGCAATAGAGTAAGCAGGGAAAAGTGGAAAGGAGGCATTTTACGTCTGTTGAAATGAGTATAGTCACCTTAATTTTTAAAAGACTCTAAGCACTAAAGGTAAGTGACATGGTTACCAACTTACTAACTAGAGAACTAGACAGGAGGCTAAGTGATTTAACCATCTCCTTCCAGATTGCAATTCATGATTAGAAAAGCAAATTCCAGATTTGTAGATAGTCATTATGATGTTCAGTACCCTGTGACCTGGTGGAGGGGGGTTGGGGGAAGCAAAAGGGGAAGGGAGAGTGCAAAATATGATGATTCACAAGGATTCATAAAAAATATTCAGCAGTAATTTAGTATCCAATGTACTAGCATCTTTAGTTATTTATCACTTCCAATTTTCCTGAGCCTTGTTTGTCCCCCCAAAAGAAAAAGTAGCTGGTATTTGTAAAGCCTTTACTAAGGACTAATCATTTTTCCAAGCATTTTTCATGTATTAAGTCATTCAATTATCACAACTACTCTATGAAAAGGTGCTATTTTTTTAATATTTATTTACAGATGAGTTGGCCATGACACAAGTAGGTTAGATAATTTACCCAGTTGGTGCACAGCTGATGAAGGTAAGAGCAGAAATTCAAGCCCAAACAGTCTGGAATCAGAGCCCTTGTCTAGCTATCCTCTACTGTCTCCATTTTATTTGAGGTCAGAACTACTCTTTTCTGGAACATTACAACAGCTCTCCAGCTGGTCCTCATTAAACTTACCTCTTTTTCCAGTATTATTTTTTAATTATAGAAATAATATATGTATACATTCTCCAGGTAAAATAGTATAATAGCATGAATTACAAAACCCCATTTGGGCACCAGCTGCAATCCTAAGTTTCTCCCCAGGGTCTGGTGTGTTTCCTCTCAGATACTTTTCTTCATATGTATATACCTGTAAATATTTTTGCAGGTTTTTTTTTATATACTTTTAAAAGTAAATGTTATATCATTCACTTGCAAATGTTATTTGTTATTCATATAAATGTCTTTGAGAGCATGCTAAATCAAAACAAAAAGAAGAAAAACTCATTCCCTTTCTTGAAAAATGATCCCCATTGCACAACAGAGATGCCAGAGCCCTATTTGAAGTGCTATGCTTCTCTTCATTCAGTATTAGTGGAATCGAGCAAAGTCTTCCCAAAAGAAAAGGTCAGAAAAAAAAAAAAAATTAAAGGTGCAACAAGCATATTCTTATGCACACAGAAGAATAAAAGACCCATTTATAGAAGCTAATCTATAGGTAAAACAATGCATAGATGACAGCATGCTCACCTAGGGATTTGCCAGGCAGTGAGGCCAGATCCAGTTCCTGATAAAGTCTAGATAACTATTCAGCTTACTCTTGCCTTTCATCTCCATAGCAACCTGGAGTATTGGGATAATATTGCGGTTCCACTTATTGAACGAATCCTTTCATGGGCTTGAATGTGTTTACTTCTTTACTTGTTTACTATTTCCAGAGTGTAAGCTCATGAAGACAGGAATTACATCTCCTATTTCCTGCTGCAGTGCCATTCCCTAGCTCAGTACCTGGCACCTAGTTGGAGCTCAACAAATATTTGTTGAATGAGTGAATAAAGCTAGAAATGTCTGACTAGTGCTGCTTATCAAGGTTCATGGCTCTGTACCTGGACTTTTTAAAGCCCTAAAAAACCGGCTGATTTGATCACCCATGGCCACTGTACATTGACCTGAATAATTACAAATTTACAGCCAACACTAATAACAACTCTACCTGTGGCTGAGTAGAAAGAACATAAGCTTTAGAGTCAGTCACCTGAGTTAACAAACATCTCCACCATATGCTTGCTGTGTGACCCTGGACAATTTTCTTGACCTCTCTCCTCAGTTTCCTTATCTGCAATAATAAAACTAATAAAACCTTTAAGATTTAGTGAAGATTAGCAGTGGAGGGAGGGGAGAGGTATTAAAGTGTTTGTAATGGTGAGACATTGAGTAATTGTTCAATGCTGTTAGTCCTGTGCCTATTTCTTCCTCCACCCACTTACTGCTCTCTTTCAAATAAGATGACTTTGATTTTATTTTCCCTGATAAGCATTTCTCTTCTCTCATTTTCATTTGTGGCAATCCGGGAACAACTTCTTTCTCTTCCAAAGCTGATCTGTTTTGCTGGGATCAGCCCAGGGCTCTGGGCTCTGGGGATTACTGTTGAGCTAAGAAGCATATGGATCAAATCCAAGGGCTGCCGTACAGAATGGATGTGCCATTAAAATAAAGTCTAAACCTTTGTGGCAATTCTATGGAGCACAATATACATTCCAAAGTTATAGCACCGTTACCAAATGCGATGTTCAAAAAACCACCCCCAAATTACTCATCTCATTATAGAAATAAACCACTATGTTGAGTATTAAGACAGACACCTTGTAGGCCGAAACCGGTTTGGCTCAGTGGTAGAGCGTCAGTCTGTGTTCTGAAAAGTCCCAGGTTTGATTCCGGTCAAGGGCATGTACTTTGGTTGCGGGCACATCCCCAGTGGATATGCAAGAGGCAGCTGGTCGATGTTTCTCTCTCATTGATGTTTCTAGCTCTCTATCTCTCTCCCTTCCTCTCTGTAAAAAATCAATAAAATACATTTAAAAAAAAAAGACAGACACCTGGCATTTGAGTATAAAGTTTTCTCCAAAGGTCCCACAACTGTCATATCAAACCAGTGAAAGATATTTAAACATAAAAAAGTAAAGCCTTTAACTTCCTTCCACCTGATTTAGACTTCCACCCTGTGTGTGATACTCTTTATTCAGCCCCCACCACTTGTGCTACTTCAAATTATTTTAGATCTACCTAAAAGCTCTTATTTATAGAGTCTTAGAGCATCAGAAACACTTGCATTTATTCTGTCATGTACAGATCCTAACAAGCCATCCTCTGGCTTTAAAAAGAATTTAAGGAGACTCAACTAAACACAATTCTTTTCCTATTAGCAGCCTCGTTCTTTTCCAGCATTAAACTGTCTTCCCACAAATCAGTGGGGCAGATCTATTAGGCTGCTACCCGAATGATCTCCTGGCACTTAGACGTGCCTTTAAAGCATGATATCCATTACTTCTCCTTCATTCTGCATTGCAGCCTTGCACACAATGCCAGGCTTGTTGAGAGCTGTGTTCCTACTCTCCTGTCTCCTGGTTAGATTGCAACCACAGCCTTTGAATGGAGATCAGTCCGGGCACCTTATAAATCTTGTTTAAAAAAATAAATCAAATTCTTGCTTTGAGTCCTGGGGAGTGTCAAGAATAGTTGGAGTATTTTCTTCATGTGCCCTTGGCCTGAAGATTACATCGCTTTCTCAAAGATTTAACAATAGCCACCAGGTTAGAGTTATAGTCAATAGGATTAGCTAAACATACTACACCCCAGAGACAAGCAGCAGCTTGATTACGGGGCCACAGCACACCTGTTCATAAGAGCTGATCTCAGGGAAAGTTCAAACCCTGAGGAATTCACACACCACTCATGCATCATCACAAAAAAACTCTGAAGTGGAAATTAACAGCTATGTGGGCCTGAACAGGCCAATGAAGAACTGTATTTTCTTAATTCTGGATTTCAGGATACTTTTAATATGTAAGATACACCCAGCTCTCTGTGAGCCTTTGTTGAGTTCAGTAACCAGCAAGTGAATTTCATAGCAATCCCAGTGGAGAAAAAAAT